GACCGCGGGGGCCTCCGTCCCGCTGCCGGGCCGGCCACTGGGGCAGCGTTTTTAATAGGGGCCCCGTAACCTTGGGCGGCGGAGGGTGTCGTGCTTGGGGATGGCGCGTTGGTGCCTGGGACGGTGCCCCCAGGGCCAGGACAAGGGCCGCCGCCGCCGCCTGTGCCCCCGGGGCTGTTCCCAAGCCGCAGCTGGTTAGCGTGGCCGGAGGGATGGGAATGCCGGGGAGGACTTTGCCAGGTATTAACTCCTAACCGACGGCGTCCACTCACCCTCGTAGAGCCTCGTCTGGTGGTGGGATTCAGCAGCACGACGATGAGGGCCGGGGGGGTTCCTGCAGCCCCCGGCCCTCAAGGACGTGCCCTCGGTAGGTCCCACGTCGTGTCAGCCCTGTGCAGGTTCCCCAGGCACCTCAGACGGTGCCGGTGCCCGGCTGTACAGCAGAGGCCGTCCCCCGGTGCTGCTGCCCAGCCCTGGTCTAAAAATCTCCAGTGTAATATATCCCTCCTTGTCCCCGCTCCAGCGAGAAACCTTAGAGCCAAGTTCACCTTGGCTCAGAGGCTGGCGCGGCGCTGGGCGGTATCTGCTGGGTGCGCAGCAAAAAATACCTGTGAAGCGTCCAGCCCAGCTTGGGGGGATGAGGATGAACGAGCCCTTGGGGAATAGGGAAGGGCCGCGTGCAGGGTGTCTCCACGTTAAAGGTGAGTCGTCTTGGATGGTGAGCTGAGAAGGAACGGTTTTGGCAGGTGCTTGTTGAGTGGGAAACGAAAGGGCTGGTGAAGCGTAATTTCGCTGTGCACGTGCCTCATGGAAAATGCGCAGAGGCCCTTCTGCCGCGGCTCTTGTTAGTCCAGGAGATGTTCAGAGAATACAAAACCTTTGCAACTTGCCTGTCTTGCTCAGGGCTTGCTACGACATTGATGGATGCCACAACGGATAAGGACCCGCTAGTCCAGGAGCAGATCTACAACGCTTTGTGCTACCTGGGGGAATCCGAGCCGGAGGAGATCCTCAACTCCTGCGACGAGTACCTGCGGCAGCATGACAAGGTAGGGGTCTGCTCTGCTCGGTCCTGGGAATGTCAGCAGGATGAGAAATATTTCCTGGCGGCCTGGGGATATTGGCTCTGTCAGCAAGCGAGGGAGATAACCTGGGAGGATCTGGGCTAAAAGAGTGGTGGGCCAGCTGGCTGAGAAGTCTGGTCCAAGGCGCTGGAGTCGCACAGGGGAAGAAATGGCGATAACACGCTGTCGTGGATGAGAAACGGAGTAAAGCTGGTTGGTGGTTCAAGTCGTTGCCTTTTCCCGTGCAGGCTGCATGGTGGAAACGCTAGCCAGTCCCTTGCCGGGCAGCTCTGGGACACGCAGGTTTCGCTCGCCCCGGGGCAGCCGCCGCGCCTGTGCTCGGCTTGGCTGACCGTCTGCTTTCTCCCTCCCTTTTCAGCTGGCCTACCCTCACCGGGTGATCATCCTGAAGGCAATGGAAACCGTGGTGAAGAGCAACATTGCCCTCTTGGACAAAAGCACAGCGAAGGTGGTTATCTTCCTGGCCTCTAATGAAATGACCAAGTCAAAGGTATGACCCGAAAGCTCCGGCTCCCCCCGTCGTTCTTGGCCGGGCCCTTTCTGCCCCTGATGCAACTGTCGTTGCAGTACATGCTGCGGGTCTGGGGCTGCCTCGGCAGTGGCAGTTACCGGGACCCCTTTCGTGGAAGGGAAGAGCTAGTTACGTGCCATCCCCTGGACTTGGGACGGTGGAGGCAGTAGGGGATGGGCTACGTTCCTCCCTCTGGGGAGAGACGAGGATGGTTTGGCTGACGGTTTTCTTCCAGCACGGCATGCATACGCAGCTAGATAAAATTCGGATGCTGAAAAGGACCTGCACAGGCAGGTGGGTATTAGAGCAGGAAGGAGAAGGGCCTTGAGAGGCTGCAGGTCCACGTGGGGAAAAGATCACATCTGAATCACGAGCCTGTTGTTTAGCCCGCCCTGTGCAATTCCCCGTGGCGTTTGGAGCCGGGCATGATGCGTGGCATTTAAACGAAGCAGAAGCAGCCCCCTGGGGAGGCCGCGTGTCTGACGCAGTGTCTGTTCTGACGTGGTTTCCTCCCTCCATGCCAGGAGGTGATCCGGGACTGGCAGCAAGCCGCGAGCAACGTCCTTGTTGCGGTGGGGCAGCGCTTCATCAACAAGGTGATGGAGGAGGTGCTCACCAAGTTTCAGCCGGGGATCCTGCCGCACTACTTCGTCATGCAGACGTTTGCAAACCTCTCTGTGTCGAACGGTGAGTTGGCAACCTGCCGCCTCCGTGTGCGGCTGCCGGTCTGCGTGGGAAAGAGCCGTGGAAGCGTGGCGTGCTTCGGGTGTTGCAGTTCACCTATAGTAGGTGTATAGCTGTAGTTCAGCTGTACTGTGCCCGTATAGCTCTGCCGTGGGGCACCTCCGCAGCGTCGCGCGTGCTGAGCCAGCCAACGTGCTTCGAAACAAACTCCTCGGGATCTTACAGCTTAGGCTTGATGCTGCTGAACAATTGAGGTGTTTGCTCTGCAAGATAACTTAGTGATGAAACGCACTGAAAAACTGGTGAACAAGCAGTATGGCAAGGTGGAGCGCTATCAGTGGTACCTGGCACGTACCTGGCAATTCCTAGAGCACAGAGGAGCAGAGTCCCTATTAAAAGTCGGTTTCACAGCCAGCAGGAATTGGAGCTGCCTGGCCCTCGTCCTTAGAGAATTCCCTGCTGGGCTCTCGTTTCCAGCCGTCCCAGAAAGGCCGGGTTTAAAAACGATAATTCTAGGATGGGACTTCTGAAAAGAAGTCGGGCTGCGGAAAGATCCGATGATGCCAGCAGCAAGCGGGACGTAGCCTGTAGCTCACCAACTTTGAGAAACAGTCGTGAACTTCAGGGGCTCGGAGGAGTGAGCTGCTGCTGCGCTAGAGCTGCCTCCACCACGTGCTGGGGTGGCCAGCTCCCACCCGGGGCTGTCGGCATCTCTTGTGTGGCAGAATCGGGCTCCTGGCTGGCAGCGAGCGCCTGGCTGCGGCGAGCCGGCGCTCTTCGGGTGCCTGTGCAATCCTGCCGGGTCTGCGTCCGGCGCAGGCTGGGGCAGCTGCAGAGCGGCACTTGTGTGTTTGCTGCGAGTGAGCATCTCCTGCTTCCTTCCCAGTGTTCGGAATGGTGCCTTTTCTCAACTCCATCCTCGGGACGATGCTGCCCATGCTGGGAATGGCCAAACAGGACCACATGAAGTCCGTCTTCTGCTATGGTAAGGTTTTTCCGGATCTTCTGAGACTGCAGAGATTTTTAGATGTGTTGTGGGAGACTTTTTCCCTTCCCTGGAAAAGGAGGGACTGTGGACGGGGGCCGGAGAGCTGGTTAGGATGGACCTTTCCTGAATGTCTGGGAGCAGGGACCTGGCTGGCTCTGGGGAGGGATGGATAGCTGTCAGCTCTAGGTCACTGGGATCCAGCAGAAGTCCTTCTCCATCTCCTAGCTGAGCCCTGCCACTCCCTTTTCGTAGCTCAGTGAGCACTGGTGCCCTTCACTTTCTCCTCTGGCGAAGAGGACGTGGATTCTCCAGAGCCGTCCCGACTCGGGTTGAGGGGACTGGCCTGGTGGGCTGCTGAAGGAAGGAGGGATGCGGTACTCGAGACCCTCTTATAAACCAGGCTGTCCCTTTATTAAGACCATGAACCTGGCACCTTGCAACAGCCCAAGCGTTAGCCCTGATAGGAACTGCGAGGAGGCCGGGATGCAGCGACGGTTCCAGGCCAGCTCTCGTCCAAGCCGCTTCTTTAATTCTCGTAAGCCGGTTTCAGGATGTGACACTTCTGGTGGGCTGGCAGGATGTCACGGGGCTCCCCTCTCGTGACGCCCTCCTCCAGCCCCGGGCTTGCCGAAAGCCACCGCTTGTGCGGCGGGATTTGACGCAGAAGTACTAGCGCTGACACAGCTGGCAAACAGCCTGCTTGGTTGTCCCTCGGCCTCTAGCCAGAGCTGATCCAGCTTCACCTGGACGCGGTGGCCCGTCGTGGTGTGGCTCCTGGCCCGAGTTCCTTTGTGTTTGTTCGCCAGTGAGATGCTCTCCTGAGTGTGGGGCAGTAGCGTCTGCGACTCGGACCGCGGGATGGCGCGCAGCCCCGATCGGGCATGAGATGACAGCCTTGTTAACATCCAGCAGAGGATCCTCAGGATTTTGTGGTTTTCTTTCCATAGCTGGGCAAAGATAAAAGGTGGTCTGGGGGAGTGCGGGTTCAAGGGCTCTGACAGATACCGCGGGAGCTGCTGGAGCACACCGCTGGTGCAGTCGCTCTTATCTCTTGCTGATACTTGCACCCAAGGCCTGGGAATGCTGATGTGGCTCTGCGCGTCAAGGAGTGAACAGGATGAGTGGGAGCCTCCCGAGCAGCCCTGTAAACTGCAGGGGTGGATGTAGGACTACGGCAGCAGCATCTCTTTCTCCCGGTAACGATGAGGTTTGTGTCTGAACTCGTTACCGGGATCTGCTGCAGTCCGGTAACGGTTTTACACTGTCGGATGTGAAGGGCTGCTTCGACCTTAAGAGCTCTTGTTCTATTACGTTGAGCGCAAAGCAAGAACGGGCAGCTCTCAAGCTGTTCCTGTGCAGGCGCGTTCTCAGAAAGCCAGAGCCAAGGTCAGGCAATCTCTGTGAATATGAAGCATCCTCCTTCCATCCAGTACAACCAATCCCCTGAGCTGGTTTAGCCATGGGGGTTGCTGGTGTTGGCAGCTCAGGTAGTTTAGGCCGGCTGCAGGCGATCCAGGAATCATAGAATCATAGAATCATTAAGGTTGGAAGAGACCTCCAAGATCATCGAGTCCAACCATCAACCCAACAACACCATGTCCACTAAACCATGTCCCTAAACGCCTCATCTACCCGTCTTTTAAATACCTCCAGGGATGGTGACTCGACCACTTCCCTGGGCAGCCTGTTCCAATGTTTAACTACTCTTTCAGTAAAGAAATTTTTCCTTACATCCAATCTAAACCTCCCCTGGCGCAACTTGAGGCCGTTTCCTCTCGTCCTTTCGCCAGTTACTTGGGAGAAGAGACCGACCCCCCCTCGCTACAACCTCCTTGCAGGTGGTTGTGGAGAGCGATGAGGTCTCCCCTCAGCCTCCTCTTCTCCAGGCTGAACAACCCCAGCTCCCTCAGCCGCTCCTCAGCAGACTTGTTCTCCAGACCCCTCACCAGCCTCGTTGCCCTCCTCTGGACACGCTCCAGCCCCTCGACATCCTTCTTGGAGTGAGGGGCCCAAAACTGAACACAGTATTCGAGGTGCGGCCTCACCAGGGCCGAGTACAGGGGCACGATCACTTCCCTGCTCCTGCTGGCCACCCTATTTCTGATACAGGCCAGGATGCCGTTGGCCTTCTTGGCCGCCTGGGCACACTGCCGGCTCATGTTCAGCCGGCTGTCGACCAGCACCCCCAGGTCCTTTTCCGCCAGGCAGCTTTCCAGCCACTCTTCCCCCAGCCTGTAGCGCTGCATGGGGTTGTTGTGGCCGAAGTAGATAGCAGATAGCAGATAGCGGGCAACGTGTTTATAGACGGGAGGTCTGCCGCTATTTCTGTCCGAGATGGCTTACCAGAGGTGCCTGGCCCTGCGGAGAAGGGATCCTTCTGCTCGGGCATGGTGGGGAGGACCAGCGTGGCCCACGGGGCTGGTAAAACTCAATTCTGAGTTTCGGGTGGCTCTTTTTGGAGCTGCCTTCCACCGTCGGCAGCTCCTTCTCCTTCATCGCTTCCAGCAATCGCTTCTTTCGGCTTTCTGCTCCCCACTCTCCCCGCTCGGTCCTGAGAAACGTGATGTCCTGGCTCCTCACGTGTTCCTCCCAAAATGGCCCTGTAGCTGCTGCCGCTGAGGCACGGTCGGTTTGTTGCTCTTGCAGAGTACTTGCAACCTCTTAACTCATATCCTAAAGGACATGAAGTCTCCAAAGCGCTGCCGGTGCTGGGGAGCGCGGGGAGTGGGGGGGATGAGCATCTTTAAGCAGCCCCGTGCGGGTCTGGAGCAGGTCCTGCCCTGATCCCAAAACCCCTGCCTGCCCACGGTCAGCCCCTCGTGACTGCTGACCTCGGAGCATGCGGAAAACCAGGCTGAGGGCTGGGGCGCGGGCGGACGTGCCTCCCCGGACCTTCCCGAAAGCGTGAGGAGGCCGTGGTGCCGATATCGGGCTGCCAGGAGGGGATGTCCCGTCCCCAGCAGCTGCCTGCTGCCAGCGGGGTTCAGCTGCCTGCGAAACTGGGAAGGTGTCGCCTGCCGGCGTGCTGGATTTCTGGCTCCGTATGGTTCCTGTATAATTTTTTGCCAAAGTTTTCAATGACTGAAAGGCAGATGAGGTAACTCTGGAGTCGGCGCAACCGTGCGACGCGGGCAGGTCTTTTTGGGGCGGTTTTGCTGTTCCAGGGTGGCCCAGTGCAGAGGGACGGGGACAAGGAGGTACCAGCCTGCTGGACGGTTACATGGAGCTTGATCTGGGCTGAATGCGGGGATGGAGAGGTGGATTTGGGGACGTGAATCCTGGTTTTACCGCTCCGGAGGAGTCAGCAAGGTACCGCTTTCTGATTTGGGAGTGGTGCTGCCCTCGGTGGCCCCGCTGTAGGGAAGGGAATGAGCTTCCCAGCTGTGTCCTAAAACCTTGCTGGCTGGAGTAGCTATTGCCCCCGCGTTCCTGGCTACAAGCTTTTTTAAAAAAACAAAACCAACAAAAAAAGTAAAGCCAAGCATAACATTGCCTGTTGCCCTCGCATCCGCCTGGCTTCAAGCTGGGGGAGGACTTTTAGGTGATGTTTTTGGCTAGACACGTTCGCTTTTGTCAAGACAAACTTGTCACAGAAACTTCAGGAGGACTCAACCTAAGCAAGGGTGTTTTGACTCCAGCCTGCAGATGGAGTGAAGATGGGGTCTAGACTTCGCTCCCTGCTCCAGAAAGGCGCTGGGTGTGACGGGGGTGAGCTTGGGACCTTCCTGACCCCTCCGAGGTGGGCATTGATGGGAATTCACAGTTTCTGCCCAAAGAGCAGCCAGACCCGCCCTGCCATGGATGGTTTCTCAGCAGCACAAGCTCCGCTGTGCAGCATCGGACCCTTCTGCTGGTGGTCCATCATCCCTGTGTCCCCTCTGAGCCCTTCCCGTCTGTCTGAGCCGTGGGGAGCAGGTCGGGGAGTTCCTGCCCCCCCGCATTAAGGACAGCAGAAGACCAGGGCTCAGCCCTGAGGGCGATGGTCTCTTCCAGCAGGCAGGGCAGTGCTTGCAGTACTTATTTCTTGCGTGCTGCCAGCTGGGTCGCGGCGAGGGTGAGGAGGCATGTGATTGAAATGATCTGGCTTTGGTATGAGGTCGTGGAGTGACTCAGCATCTCTGATCCTACCGGGCTGAAAATAAACAGCTGCCGTAGGCGAGGAGGGGGAGCGGAGGCCGTGCAACCCCTGCCGCATCAGCCTCGGTGTGCGGTGCCGTGGGGCGGGGAGGGTCCTGGGCTCTTCTCTTGGGAGCCCCCCTTCCTCCTCCTCCTCCTCCTCCTGCGGGAACCTGCTTCCTCCTCTGGGTGTTGATAACGTGGGTGCATTGAGCCTGTGCGGGGGCCCGGAGAGCTGGCGTGCCCTCGCGTCATCTCGCATCCTCGGGGGGCCGTGTCAGCCTCTCCATCCCGCTGGCGTGGGGTCCCGTGGGCATGAGGGATCAGGCACGATGGGGCTCTGGAGTCCCCAGCTGATAGCGTGGGCACCGGTCAGATGGCACCGGGCGGTGGTTGCGCCAGAAACGCTGTGCTCCTCCACCACGTCTTGCTGCGACGCGGGGCCAGGCACTTGTTTCCTTCAGTTTTCCATCTTCTGCCACAATCTTACTGCGGGGAAACCTCCTGCCCAGGATGCCGGGGCATCGTGGGGTTTTTTTCTTCACCCCATTAGTGCGGGACGTGGCTTGCGAGGTCTCCCTCCCCGGAGGAGCTGAGCAAGCTCCTGCTGAGCGACTTTCTGGCAGGAGCAGGGCTGCCGTACCCGGGGAGGGACGGCTCAGTCCCGTGGGTATCCCATGGGTGCAGGGACCCCTTCCCCGGGGTCGGGGGATCATCCGCAGGAGCCGTCCTTCTCTAGCAGGAGAGGGGCCGATAAGCTCGTCCTGGGCAGCCTGTTCTGGGTGTCCCTGCTTGAGCCAGGGCTTGGACCAGCCGGGCTCCCCAGGTGCCTCTACACCTGAGCAGGCTGTGATCCTTCTCCTCTCCCCTTGCCTCAGCCTCGCCCCTCACGGGTCCTGCTCCAGTGCTCGGTGGCCCGTGGCGGTGCCGGCAGCCAGAGCTCTGGACCTGGCCGGGTCGGCGGCACGCTACCGGCTCTGCAAGCCCCAGGCTGCTTCGCTTGTTAGGAAACAGCTAGTGAAGGGTGAGGAAGCTAGAAAAGCCTCGCTGTGCACTAAGGGATTAAGGAAGGGAGCACGTGCGTGCCCCTGGCAGCATGTGGAGGGAAAGCAGGATCTTTGCTTGGGTGCCCTGGTGCCTGGGGGTCCCGGGAGGGGGCTGGAAGGAGCTGCGGGACGGGCAGATGGGTGTGCTGGAGCTCTGGGTTGGACAGACGGCCAGGCAGGGCTTGCGGCTGGCAGCGCTTCCCGGGGCTGCCTGTGAAAGGCCGGTACGGGGACGCTGCTTGGGCAAACCTGCCCAGAGCACCGGCAGCCTGCCTGCCGCGTCCGTGTTCAGCAGCAGCGCGGGGCTCAGCCCGGAGAGGTTCGTGCTGAGCATCTGGAGCGACGTCCCGTGCAGGAGCTCCTGAAGCTGGGAGCTTTTCTGAAGCTGGGAGCCTTTTCGGTGTGCTCTGCTGTTGGATAATTCCCCAAGTAAAACTAGGGGGGTGTTTGCAGCCCTCGGGTGCTGTCAGCTGATACCTGCTTCTGGTGTTAGGTGGTCCCTTGGCTGCCCCAGGAACTCTGTAAAGCCTTGGGGAACCCCGTAAAGCTGTGGCGAAGGCATCCTCGGGGGGAGATGGAAGATGGGTATCCCCTGCGGTCAGCAGCCTCTAGCCGAGCCTTGCGTCTGAGCCAGGATGTGTGCCTTTACGCCAACACGCTCTTGTCACCGGTCCGGTTCGCAAGAGGAAAAAATAACGTGTGCTCACATGCAGCGCTTGCTGGCCCAGGGACCAGACGAACTCGTTGAGGTGCGGGTGCGCTGGCTTGCCTGTGGCTGTGAGGCTGTAATTCTTGGCCGCCCTACCTGCTAACGAATGTGTAGAAATAACCCATGTGGCAAATCCAGGTTCCCGTGGGTCAGTGGAGCTGGGTCTCTGGGGTTGGTTATATCAGCCCTGGCCCAGGAAGCACAAAGCAGCGTGTATCTCTGGCGTGGCTGCCTGCCGGGAGCCCCTGTAGCCACGGCACCTCTCGGGAAGTATCTCAGCCTGCCAGGGAGAGTCCTGGTGCATCTGCTATCCCTTGAGATGCTGCCCAGTAAAACAGCATGTCAACCATCTGCTTTCTGGAGGGGCTAAAACAAACATTGTCTTGTACGCGTGGAAAATCTGACTGTGCAGTCTGTCTCCTAGCTCTGCAGCACTTCAGTGAGAGCATCCAGGAGTACTTGGCGAACTTGGACCAGGCCCCAGACCCCACGGTCAGGAAGGACACCTTCTCAAACGAGATCTTCAGTGCGTACGAAGTGCTCTTCAACAGCTGGCTGCAGCACCGGGAAGCCAAGGTGGGGGGACGGGGGGCATGGTGGGACCTCCCTGGGTACGGAGCGGGGGGCTGTTAGTCCGACGTCGGCCTTGCAGCATCTCAGCTGTGCCCTTTCCTAAGGACGTGGCCCCCAGAAGAGCAAGCCCCCGGCTCTGATTTAGGGCTGGATGCTTTTCTCCTTGTGCCCTGCGGCTCCGCTCGGTTCCCTCTGTCCTCGTCTCCCATACGTAACGCGTGCAGAACGGGTCGCTCGCTCCCCATTGCTGGAAAGCAGAGCATGGGGTGCTTCTGCAGCCCCTTGGGGGACAGTCTGGGCATGTGCCACAGCTGGGAGATGGCCGGCCAGGTTTTGTCCTCTGCAGGCGTAGGTGACATATTTAGGCGTCCCCCTTCTCTTTTGAGCACCCCTTGCACTTAAACTGGCAAAGCCGGGCGAAATGCTGCCCCTGCCTCTGCTCAGAGGCTCCTACAAGCATTAGGAAGAGCAGCTTCATAGCAGCGGAGCGATGCTGCGGCAGGCGTGTCCGTCCAGGGTCTGGGCCACACTATTGATGCGCAATCTCTCCCTGCAGCTGAGACTGGCTGTGGTGGAGGCTATGGGACCTATGAGTTACCTGATGCCCAGTGAAAAGCTGGAGGAGCAGCTCCCTAAGCTGATTCCAGGCATCCTCGCCCTCTACAAGAAGCACGCGGAGGCCTTCTACATATCCAAGGTAAGCAGCTCCGAGTGCTGATGGTGCTGGCCAAAGACCCGTCCCCAGCCCTATTGACTGGGAGCCTTGTTGGGGTGTAGGGCGGGTAGCGGACCTCTGCCCACCAGCCATGGGTTCTGCTGTAGTTCGGTGGTGCTGACAGCCGTCTGTGAATGCAGGAGGGGTGCTGAGCAGCGGCTCTGCCTGTCCCAGAGGGCAGCATGGGGGCGGATGGGCAAGAGGGAGAA